ACGTGTCTCTACTGAGATGTACGAAGGGATTGACAACCTGAAATCCCTTTACGACCGTGCCGGGAAGACTTTCTCCGGCGGTCCATCTGCGGCACAGGATGTGCCGCGTCGTACTGCTCAACCAGACCCAGTACGTCAGTCATCAGTTGGGAGCGAGGCTCCCAAGAATCCCAGGACGGGGGATAGCCGCGCCACCGGACAAGATAACTCGTCCGACGTTCGTTCACGTCGCGGTGGCTCAACAGCTGCTCAACTAGATAGCGCTGGCCACCGCGAGAGTCCTCTAATGGAGGTGGAGGAGGAGGAAAGACGCTCTCCACACGATCATGTGGATCGGTGTGTTCCCGAGAGCTTCTTTGATCGCGTAACGCAAGGGTTACGCGACGATCTCGAACATGAGCGGAATAGGCGTCTCCAAATGGCGGACACTGCCTCGAAGCATCGAGCTGAGTTTGCCTTTGCTCAGCTTGAGAACGAGAGATCTCTTACATCTCTGCGTGACGAGCTAAGGGTAGCTCGTGGGATTGCTGACCGGTCTCGGGATGAGATAGCTGCTCTTCATACCCTTGTTGATGCCCACCATCGGGAGCACAAGGCTCTCTGCGAGATGCTTGAGCGCAAGGGCGTTCTTCATCGGAAGAAGCAGCGTACTGATGGTACGGCTTAAGCCGACCAACGTAAAACGTGGGATGCGTTCGCATCTTACGTGGTAACTCGATCGTGTATGCATTGCCTAGGCGGTGCAATACACGAAATGGGCCGATGTACTAGGGTAGTAGTTTACTGCTACCCAAGTTAGTCACTACATGCTTTGGTAGATTAACCGTAGACAGTAGGACTAAGTCACCTTTATTAAATATAAGAGTGATTGCCCTTCCATTCTTGTCAGCGTTTTGCTTTTGCTTATCCACCGCTTCGGCGATGGAGTCTTGCACAAAACGGACTACCGTTTCACGAGCCAGTATGAACTCATCTGATGACTCGTTAGCTTCAGTGTGCTGTGAGCGCACTGCAGCAACATCAACCTTTTCTTCAGTGAGGGCTTCCGCACTCTCACTGGGATCATCTTCTTCAGTGAGGGCTTCCGCACTCTCACTGGCATCATCTTCTTCGATATCGATGTTATCGATATCGGCATCAAACACAATGACTTCTTCGTCAGAGCGTGATGAGCGTGAACCAAATCGGTTTTTGCTCGCGCGAGTCCCTCCCCCTAAACCAGAGTTACACTCTAGTAAGGTGGGTACACGCGGATGGCGCAAGCCATTCACGTAAAACGGTGTATGTGTCGTGGACGCATGCACCGAGTTGTTAATGGAAAACTCTACCATGGGCAAAAACTCACTCCAACTCTTAAAGGAGTGTACGTATCCTCGAAGTATCTCTTCAAGGACACGATTGGCACGTTCCGTCTGACCATCTGACTCTGGATGATCAGATGTCGACATCTTCAAGCGCGTTCCGAGTGATTTGAACATTGAACGCCAGAAATCAGCAGTGAATCGTGGATCTTTGTCTGATACGAGTTCACGGGGCAACCCATGAAGTCGGAAGATGGTGTCAATAAAGACACAAGCACAGCCACTTGCCGTGATTGACTCTGGTACAGCCACAAGGTGTACCATTTTGCTGAATCTGTCAACAAATACGAGAATACCCGTATTCCCGCGTGCGTCTTTGGGTAACCCGAAGACGAAATCCATTGAGATGGATTCTCAGCATTCAGCCGGAACCGGTAGAGGCTGTAAAGGTGCACGCAGTGAAGGACTTGACTTCACTCGTTGGCAGACTTCGCATGCGCGAACATACTTTCGCACAAACTGATACTGGCGGGGCCAGTAAAAGTCTCGACTTACCGTGAGATATGTTTCTCCCGGCCACGATGTCCTCCTATAGGAGCATCGTGATACTCGAACATGATCCGCAAACGCAGATCAGTATCATCTGGAATGACAACACGTGGTGTGTCACCAGAAACGACTGTATAGTACAGTAAACCGTTACGAGTAGTGTATCGATCTGATGCAGATCGATACGCAGGCGACAATCGTTTCAACGATCCTCGGGATGGTTGGGAGAGATGTGTCAACAACTTCACAATCTCAACATCTTGGGCGTATGCCCGCCTCACATCATCATACAACGTTGTAGATGGGACTGAGGACGTCATAACCGCAACAGTGACTGTCTCACTGTTGGGTTTCGCGACTGTTTCAAAGTCGGGACGACGTGAGAGTGCATCAGCAACGACATTAAGTCGTCCTGGTTTGTACTCGACCGTAAAGTTGTATTCCGCAAAGAATGACAACCACCGCGCCATTCGTTGTGAAAGGTGCGGGCTGTTCACTGCCGTGCGTAATGACGCATGGTCAGTGTAAACAATGAAGGGTCTATCTCCTGATAGATAGACTCTGAACTTCGCGAGTGCATACTTCATGGCAAGGAGTTCCTTGTCATGCACTGGATAGTTCCGCTCAGCTGGTTGCAGCTGACGCGACTGATAGCAGACGACGCGTTCAACGCCTTCAAGATCGTACTGCATTAATGCACAGCCGATTGCGAAATCGCTGGCATCACAGACCACATGAAATGGCCTTTCCTGATCGGCTATTGCTAGGACTGGGGATTGTATCAAGCTCTGCTTGATACCCTCAAAGGAGCGTTGACATTTAGCGTTCCATAACCACCTCTCGTTCTTTTTCAACAAACGAGAGAGGTGCACAGTCATCTCGGCGTAATTGCGTGAATACTTATGCAAATACGCCGCTAGCCCAAGGAATTTTCGAAGACCTTTGACATCAACCGGCACAGGCCAGTCGGTGATCGCCTTGATCTTTTCGGGATCAGGACGTACACCGTTCTTACCAACGATGCACCCAAGAAGTGGTATTTCGCTTGCTGCAAATATACACTTCTTGAGGTTAGCATACAATTGATGCTTTCGCATGATTGTAAGAACTTGTCGGACGTGGTACCTGTGAACCTCAACGTCCGACTTTCCATCCATAGCTCGACTATGGATGAATACGTCATCGAAATAACTCGGCGCGAATTCTCGTACTGGTCTCAACAGATGTGATACACATCTGTTGAACGTGGCAGGGGCATTACTGAGCCCTTGTGGCATTACTAGCCATTCTTAGAGCATGCCGCTAGGCGTGCTAACTGCGGTATAGGGTATATCCCGTTCCCGCATAAGGATTTGATAGAAGCCATCCATCAAATCCATGGACGAAAAGATGGTACTCTTTGACATACCATCAATGATTACGTCCTTCCTTTGTATCGGCGTCTGAGCCGGTACCGTTGCAGCATTCAACTTGTTAAATGCATGCAGTATCCGCCACCCTCCTGTTGCTTTTCGCACACAGAAGGTCGGAGAGCTATGTGGGGAAGTTGATTCCCTCACATGGCCCGCAGCTAAACGATCGGCAAAGAACTTGTCGATCGCAAGTACTTGTTCACGGGGCAGTGGCCACTGCTTCATGACACAGTACTTCGAACCGGGCTTCAGTTCGACCTCGTGTCGAATACCTTTATCCTTCGGTAATTCGTACGGAACAGTTCCAGGGAATACATCCTTGAATTCAACCAAATCTTCATAGAGAGGATTTGTCTTGAGCGATTCCCATGATTGGGAGTCATATCGCTCAATTCGTGTCTTTTCATCTAGGACACTCTCGTCCATAGATGAACTACTGAGAACTCTCTCGTTCTCAGTAAACACTGTTGCTGACCTTATGTCGGTTACACACTCGTCGTCAGCGACGAGTATGCAGATCTGCTTGACTCTGCCACTACGCGGATCACGCAAGAACCTTTAATGTTCGAGCGTTGGCAACTGAGTGATCTCCGAAGTCAACTTCGGAGGCGCAATCAGATCAAGTGTATAAGCGCCTACACTCGATCCGTTATTGACTATGACATTCAATGTCTCTGTCATTTCCTGGGGACTTATTCCCTCAGGCTTCGAAGGACTTATTCCTTCGTCTTCCCGGGGACTTATTCCCGCGGGTTTCGGGGAACTTATTTCCGCCGTATTTGTAATCTTGGGACTTATTCCCTTTACTTCCTCTAGCTGGGGTTGCGGAACCACAGCGAGATCCTCTACGAAAGACTCTCCAGTCGATCTAGGATTATCGTTTCGCTTAACCTGAGCAATCGATGTTTCTCTTCCAGATGTTCCCCGATAGGGATACATCTTTGTCCCAGTCCACCCGACTTATTCGAGTGGTGGACCTTCGGCGCAGCCTGTGTTTCCTCACAGCCGCCGGAACTTTGCTCCGAAGTGTAACCGTTTGTTACACTAAGGTTTTGTGCAGTCGTACTAACGACCGTACCACAAGTGAGGCCATCGCACTCACTCGTAGTACATCCACACGCTTGTGGACGCTACAAAACGTTCGTCAGATGGCCATCTGATGAACAAGCGGCAGGCATCGTTACTGTTCGATGTTGCCAGTTTACTCGTGGTTCGTACCTTCTGAGCCACGGTATTCCAAGGATGACATCAAATTTGTCATCCAAATCCAATACGATAAAGTCATCGTCATATTGGGTATCTTCTAGCGTATAGTGGATCTTCATTATACTATTCATGACGGTTACGGATGCGCCTGTCGCAAGACGTACCGTCATCCTCGTAGGAGGTGTGTCACATTCACTGAATTTAAAGTGACCATCTTCTAGCGATTGGCGTCGCACAAAATTGTTAGACGCCCCACAATCGAATAGAGCTCGAAGGGACAACTTATTCGTCACTTCGAGTTTGAAGGTAATGAGTGAGACCTCATTACCTAGAGCAGCAACGCACAACGTTTGTGTGTTGGGAGCAACCTTCATCAAGAGGCCTACAAATTCTCTTGACGTTGCTGGATCAGTAGGGTGCTCCGCACCTACTGATCCTGTCCGTTTTTTGACGGTCCATCCCGTTGTTGCGTCTTTGCACCAACGGCGGACCCGCGTCCCTACCCCTTTCTCATGAGTGGACGGTCATTACGCTAAGTGTTGCGAGACACTGGACGAGGAGCACTACACTCGTAAGCGTAGTGTCCTGTCTTTTGACATCTGTTGCATTTCTGCAACTTCTTGTAGTCTGTAGAGCGAGCCTTCTCGCTCTCTACATAACAGAGTTTCATCGGCTCTGGACCTCCGTTGTCATATCGTCTCGGTTGACGATATGATGTCGAGCTGGCGCGAGCCTGTCTCAGACTGAAGTCTTCCTGCTCCGCAATGGAAATGGCTTGTTCTAGTGAATCTAGTTCAAGCCGGAACAGGTGAGTCTTGACGGGACCATCCGCAAGACCCTGCATGAACACCGAAACCAACGTGTGTTCATCCACCGGATTGGAACTTATACAACTCGTGAGATGTCGTATATGTTGAGCGTAAGCGTGCACATCACGCTTACCTTGTCTGAGCTTCAAGAGTTCGGTTCGAGCTCTGAACTCAGCTCTAGGCGGTTCAAACGTTTGTCTGAGCCGCGACTTGAAGACTTCCAACGACCCAAACGCATATGGGTCGTGCAACTTGAGCCCCAGTGCCCATGTCTTGGCACGTCCTGCCAGATTTGATTGGGCAAATGCAACTTGCATATCTCCGTCGTCGATGCGACGCGCCCTTATGGCGTCATCTAATTCGACGAACCACCTCAAGAGGGAGTCCTCTTCGACTCCTATATGCTTGGAGATGTCAATCTTCAAAGTCTCGGGTCGACGCGAGTGCATCGACCCACCAGCAGCAGCAGCCTGCTGCTGTCGCAACAGTTCAAACTGTTGAACACCCTGTTCTCTCAACAACTCTGATTGTTGCTAACCTTGTTGGTGAAGCAAGGCTACTTTCTCGCGTTCAGCGTCAAGTTCATTTTGAATGAACTTGGCGATAGTAGCATGTTGGGCATCTCTATTGAGAGCCTCTAGCATGACGCTAACAGCAAGGATGCCCATGGTCGAACCCATTCTCAACCGCATCCCATTCGACATCGCTCAAATGGGAGTAGCCGTCACGCGTAGCGTGAAAGCTTTGGTCATCTTCATCATCCAACATATTCATGTTAGATGTGAACGTGGTCCTTGGACGGACTACGAAGTGCTACCAGGTGTAACAGGGCACCCTGAAGCTTGTACTGGTAACAGTACAAGCTACTTATTCTGACGACAGATTTTAAGACGGTGCCTCGTAACTTCACGTACACTCGTACGTGCAGAGGAAGACGGTAGGAAGAAGCGAGTACTTGGTTAAAGTAAAAAGTAGAACTGTATTTACAATCGTTAATGTCTGTTAATAAACCACTGTTTATCTTCATCTAACTATGCCTGAATACAAATGTGCATATCAGTTATCTGCTCATCACTCATTGCGTGCGTCTGTCGTGGCGCGTCTTCGTTGGTTGATATAATGGCCTACATCAATCAATTAGGAACTACTTGTAAGTGCTACAGAATATTTGTCCTTATGACAATATTCTGAGAATATAACTCTTATAGTTATATTCTATTAACAATTTCTTATAAATTGTTATGTAACGATTCACCCCGTTACAGGTACTATAACCATGAAATAGACAATCTGAATCACCATCACCACCACCGCTCCTATTCGATTCAGAAAGCTGTTAATTGCGAAGTACATGTCCTGCTTATGTACAAAGAGGGAATCAACATTTTCGCAGAACAACGACGTTGCGCTGTAGACTCCGAACGTGATTGGTCTGTGCTACCGACTTTACCGTAAACACGTGCTAAGCGCAGGCAATCAGACGATCGTACGAAGATTAACCAGGTAAATAGCCTCAGAAAGTTCAGACCGTGTCCAAATGCCTAGAAATCATGCGCACAAAGTATCGCACGTCGAGCCGCAGCTGCAGCGGCAACCAAAAAAACCTCGCCACATCTGAAGTAAACGCGACCCCGCGTTGCTACTGTCTTGCCTTCAGAATCAGTCAGTCACTTCGCAATTTGCGCTCTCGAGTCAACAGCGACCTCAGTCCACTGCAACTCGACCTCGTTCCCTCGGACTGAACCGCGCATTTCAGCATGACTCCAGACGCGCCCGACACGCCCCTGCGCGCCGCCATCGAGTACCACAATGGCAAGACACTCTTGGCAGAGGGACCCCAAGCGCTGCACGACCACGTTGCGTCCCGCATGGAGAAATCACTGGGCAAAGCGCTTCCGCAGATGGAGGTGCGCTTCAAAGACGTCTCTATCACCGCCGACA